CTGAGCTTGTTTGCATCCAGTAGGGTGGGGGGCGTGGGTGGCACAAGCACTTGGAAAGAAAATAATCTGCCCCACTAAGCGGTTTTCATCATCATCATCAACTTTATTTATATAGCACATTCATCCCAGCCATAGCTGCCCAAAGTGCTTAACACAGTGACACATCACAACCGTATTAAAATCAAAACACATAGAAACAACACAATAAAATACACCGGCAATAACATAATAATAAACAAAACAAATGACCAACATCCCCTTACAACAACCCCCACATACAGCATTAAAACAAGGTACCCCAACATGACACCGGCTCATACCGGCTCAAACGCCCAAGGGTAAAAGTGGATTTCCAAATGCCTGACGATAAAAATAAGTTTTTAAATAGACTTTAAAAGTGTCCAGTGACGAGGCCTGCCTAATGTGGAGAGGCAATGCATTCCACAGTTTAGGGGCCCCCGCCGCAAACGCTCTGTCGGGGAGTAATTCAATGTGGAACCGCCACGGCCGCAGGGTGTTCCCCAAGTTTAAAGTTGACTGGGATATTGTGGTTGCAAAGTTTCCTTTTTATCTTCTCTGATAAAGCAGCCACATAAGGAATGACAGTGTTACCCCTCTTGTTTCTGGTTTCTCCCTTTTGGTGTTGGGCCTCTTCCTTGCTACAAGAACTCAGTCATTTGGGGACATTGTTGGCCATTAAAGGCCTGAAACACCACCGATGGGGATAAATATCTCCGGCTCAACGCCAGTCGAGCAGAACTGATGAAGCCTCTTGGATGAGAGGTGAAATGTCTTTGAACTAGAAACCTAGCCCAGTTGATTTTTTTCTAAGTTTTTTCAGCTGTACAATTGTATGCACTTCAGTGCCACACTTCCACCTTAACAGCTGTGTTTGAGGCTCAAAATCTTTCAGCTTTTGGGGAAATTGTCATAAATGTATAAATTCAATCATATGTTTATTAAAAAGGTCATAGTTAAAGGTGGCATTGTACTAGTCTACATTATATTCAGAGGTGTCTATTTTCTAGTCCCCTAGCTATATCAGTATTTTAATATGTCTAATTACGAACTATTGCTCATCTATTGCTTGTATGGTTGTGTGGATGTGGTCATGGTAGTTGTGAGAATAGACAGTATGTTTTTATATTTACACTGATCAGATGTGGCACATCAAATTTTGTTGTACTTGTGTATAATGACAAAGTATTCATTCATTCATATACATGAGGGTCAGAATATTATGAACACCTCTAAATATAATGTAGTCCAGTACAACACCACTTCTAACTATGACTCAGTAATTATTGAACATTATTGAATTTATACATTTATGACAATTTCACAAAAAAACAGAACTTCATAAACACAGATGTTTAGATGCAAGTGTTGCATTGAAGTGCATAACAGTTGTATAGGTGTGCCTATTCAAGTGGCCAGTCACTGTACAGTATATGGACAACTAACTGTTCACAGTGACAGAGGAGATTTTCAAATCTGACTGCAGATTGTTGTATACCTGTTTTTGCCTCTATATCATGTGACACATCTGCATCAGTCTTGCTGTGGTTGGACAGACAAGGCAGGGTGCTCTCAGTGCTGTTGACATCTTTGCTGTGAGACACACTGGTCTCATATTTATACCTGGGAAACATTAAATAACACATACAGTGCAAGTTTGCATCCCCTTACTTTGAAATTGCAAAAAATATTTTATATGTATACACACATATGTTTAATGCACATTGAGCTAGTACAAGTGTTTCTTCATCAAGAGAAGTAACAAAAATGGTCAGAGAGTATTATAAAAAGAAAGTTATAGTAAAATAATAAATCAAATCTGTAACAAAGTTTGCAACCTCCTTTATGAAATGTTTAGTAAGTAAGTACTTTATTGATGTTCTCTAATACTTTGTATGTCCTCCCTAACCTTACCTCCCCCAACCTCTTTGGGTAGCCTCTGAGCAGCATTTGTATTTTTTTCAGGTGTAATTTTAGCACATTCTTCATGGCATATTTGTTCTATCAGATTGCTTGGTTGTCTGCTATGTACAGCCCTGTTCAAATTCATCCACAAGTTTTAAATGATTTTGTAACTGAAAGAGGTGCTACCTAAAATCTCAAGAGCTACGTAAAATCCAAAACAAACAAAGTCCTTAGGGGTGACTGGAATACAAGTCCACATCTTCACAGCCAAGTGTAGTCTGCACAAATCTAATGTTTGGGAGAAAAGCATGCAGGAAGCCATTGCTTACTTCTAGACATAAGGAAGCTAATGTGGTCTGATAAGACTAAAGTTTAATTATTTGGTCATAATTCACACATGTACTATATGTTTGGTTAGGAAAAAAAAACTGCCTATGAGGAGAGGAACACCATTCTCACAGTCAAACATGGTGGAGGCTTGCTGATGTTTTGGGGGTGTATGACTGCATCAGGCACTGGAGATCTGCATAAAGTGGAAGAAAGAATGAATGCAGCCCAGTATCGGAAGATTTTAAAGGAAAGCCTCCAAACACAAGTCAAAAAGCCAAAAATGAAAAGGCAGTACATCCTTCAAGACACAAAGAGCAAAATCAGCTCTGGAATGGTTTAAAATATTAAGGTGAATGTTTTACCATGCCCTTCCCAGTCTCCAGATTTAAATATTATTGAAGATCTGTGGAAAAATTTGAAGAGTGCTGTACAAATCAGACACCCCAGCAATCTGATAGACGTGGAACAAGTATGCCATGAAAAAGGGGCTAAAATTACACCTAAAAGGACAAACACTGCTCAGAGGGTACCCATAGATGTTGGAGGTGGTTAGGGAGGACAAAGAATTAGAGATTCATTTCATAAAGGGGGATGCAAACTTTTGCACTGATATGGTTTTATTTGACTACAACTTTTTATACACTCCATGACCATTTGTCTGTTGATGAACTAACAGATGTACTAGCTGAATGTGTATTAACTATGTTAATGAGAAAATTGCTTCACTCTTATTTAAAATTATGGTGATGCAAATATTTGCACCCAACTGTCAGAATTGAAAATACCAAGCACATAGCAATAGCATACAAAAACCTTTAACATTTTTCAAAGCATTACTATTTCTATAACATGGTGTGCTGTACATACCGTAAACTATTTTCTCATGTCACACAGGCAAATTGTTATTGAGCATGTATTTATACTTATCTTGGAGATCACTGAAAACAGCTTAAATGGTGCATCGCCACTGAATTTTAGAAGATGTTTTAAAGTATTAAGGTTTACCTACGTATTTCCAACACTGGACTAGATGCAGACAATTCAATTTAGGTAACAGAGTAATGTTTAGTTGGGACAAGTAAATAGCATGACTATCACTGTCAAAAAAAAAAAAAACCTGCTTTCAAAGTGGGCAGCTATATACACATTCCAGGTTGGATTAACTAACATGCACAAAAGGCAGCTAGTGTGTTTTTAAAAGGTGCCCCAACAGACCTGGATGGGCTATTGTATGTCAGCTGGTTTTAAGGAATTTAATTATGATTTCACAGGCTTCCATGCCTTGTTTTGGAGATTGATTAGGCAAACATTTTTTTTTTACCTTGGGGCCCCAGACAGATTAGTCCCACCATGTGCATGTTAGAAAAGGTGACAGTAGCCAGAATTCCTTGATTTAATGTTCTTCTTCTCTTACTTCTTGCCAAGGGATGTTCAGGTTATTATAATGTACACAAACTAGCTATCTGATTCAAGCAATTGTAGCTCAGATCAGAAATAGGATATTTCTGGATACATAGCAGTTCTATCCCCATGAATCATTTGTACAACTACTGCATTATTCTAATTATTCATATGTAGGATATACCTTAACAAGGCCACTGTGTTAAATATTCTAAAGTTGAATATTGAGAATATAAAAGAAACTGTGTACTAACGGTCCCTGGAAGAAGTGCGGCATAGCTATGAGAAAAGATCCAACAGCCATGATCAAACATCCAATAGCAATCAGCCTGGGACGATGGAGCTTAGCACCAAAGTAGCTCACAAATGCTATTAACAGCAGGTTGCCTGGGGAGAAGTAGTAAAAAAAAAAAACCAAAAAAAATAATGAATGAATTGTTAGCTTAAAGGAATACTTCAGTATTTTGGCAAATACACATTTGTGTTTTCTTACTGAGAGCTAGATGATTAGATAATGGGTATGATGTACCAGACTATTTCTTGGCTGCAGTAACTTGAACAGGATATGTTAATTTGTGAGCATTAGAGGTGCTCAAAGGCAGCTTTTGTTAAAAAGGATTCTGTGCTTACACAAATCAGAGATCTCCACAGGTACAGGGAAAAGTCTGGCATGATCACTCCCTATTTACAGTACAATTTTGCTATCTCAGTAAGTATACAAGATTGGATGCCCTTGTGTGTAAAACATTGTGACTTGCATACCCCTTGCCATATTCAGACGAGCAGAGCACCAGACAGGCAGGAAAATACAGTAGGAAAACAGGAACAAGAATGAAAACTTCTCTCTCTACTGTTGAGTTAGGACAATAGTTTAACCAATATCAAAACATAAAAAGCATAGTTGCAGTTAACATTTCACTTAATTTGAATCGCACCTTCCAGCAAATTCAGGCTAGCTCTTTCTCCACGTTTTAAATCTTTATGCTAAGCTAGCTGCTGGCAGTATCTTTACAAACATAAGTTGTATAAATCCTCTCTTCTAACACATGGAATGAATAGGAGAGATTGGTGTCTTGTAGTACTGTACATATACCCAGCACTTGGCATTTTCAGCAGTTTCATTAAACAAAAAAATACATCTAGTGTTAAGTAAAAACTGCACATACCCATTTCAAAGCTGCCATCTATAACACCAATGAGGGAGCTGGGGATATCAAAGCGCCTCTCGATCTGGGTGATAGAGCTTTTCATGTAGGCTCCACAGAAGGATTTGGCAAAGAATGCAAAAGCCATAGATGCCAGGAAGAGCTGGAAAACAAGTTGCTGGATTAAACTACTGTCTTAAGAAACAAGTTCAGTGATGGGATGTGATTACCCTTGGCAAAAAGAGCTTCCCACTCAGACCAATTCAGATTACCCTGGTAATAATTAGTCCACAGAGTCTTCCAGTAAAAGGATTAAGATACTTTTATGTAGTTCCAACAATATAATGAAAGGTTTCTAAATGAGCCTTTTTCCAATACAAAGGATAAAAAGATTTAATTACACCTTGCACAGATAACAAAGGATGGATGACCATATCACAATAAAGTTAACCACAACACTTTATACAAATTTAAAGATCCACACCTTTTCAAACCCACCCTCAACATTGATTGGATTACATTTCTTCACATTTGATTAGATTAGAGCCTTTTTAAATATAGTGCAGAAGAACTGGATGGGACTGAAACCTAGACACCAGTATTTGCAATAAATAATTGCTCATTTGCTAAATCCCCTTAATACTCTCCAATTAGTCTAGCCATTGCAACTATGCATTTGTCAAGCTTTGGCCTTCTCCACATGCTTAAGTGGTGTGCATGGGTCACTTTAAGAGTAATATACATTCAAAAACTTTGGAGAGCAGTGTCTTAATTTTTAGTTTTGCTAAAACCAAAGCAAAAGTGTCAAGAATAGCTAAAACCATGTGTTCACCTGCTTTATCATAATCTGGAGAAATACAAAATGTTAAGTTCTTAGTTCACATCCTTTTGTAATATTAAAATTGCAAACATACTGTCAATATATGGAAGTATTTGAGCTGAGCATCACAGCAAGGTTATGAGAAATTCTAACAAAATCTTATGAGAATTTTATTTATACTTGTTATACTATGTCTCCTGCAACACAAGAACAATGCTTCTTCTGCATTTCCTTGTCATCCTCATGGATCATGAAATAACAGGCTGGCTTTCTACCTATACATGCAGCTTTAGCTTCAGTCATTTGGTATGATAGTGGATGTAGCCTTCAAGAGAATATTTAGGAACCCTCAGTGTTTTCAACCAACTTGTGTATATATAAGCATTATGCAACTTATCAAGCCGACATGAGCTAGGTAGCTAGCTATAACTGCTAAAATCTGCCAGTGAATTGAAGATTAAAGCTACAGTGCATCACTTAAGGTAGCACTAGCATCAAACTCCAAATCAATCTAGTATTATGAAATTACAATAAATGAGAATGCAACAAAACTGACTGATATCACAAAAATGAAAAATCTGATTGTTAGAGGTGTCAATCCCGCTCAAAACCTTTTAGAAGCCAATATCTCTGGACTACTGCCAGTGCTGCTCATAGAGTTTGGGTTGACAATATCTCTCCACATTAAGCCAAGTTTTGGAGCATGATTGCACAAAGAAAATATTTGAGCCAAGTTCCATACTGTAACTAGGTACTAGGAATCAGAAGCCTTTTTATTTAGTGTGTGATAAAACTTGCATACAGACACATACCTTCATTTCCACATTGAGATAGACAAAAAAAATGAAATCAAATGTTACACTATATTTTGTCAAATGTTTCAACCAATTATGCAGGTAAAAGAAATTAAATGTGATTAGTAAAACCTTAGACTTAAATCTTTAGTAACCGATTCACTTTGAGTTTGTGTTGTATCCTTGCACAAAAAATAGGTAAGAGATTAAAAAGGGTTCACACCTGCCTGTAGGTCAGAGTATTCTGTGAATGTTTAGATAAATGCAGCTACTTCCACAGGTTAAAGTTCCACAGGTAAATAGCAAGTCCTCCAGTTTTACATTTTAGAAACCTTTACTTTACTGAAGGGGACTGGTGATAATATAGTTAACTATGTAGCATTTATTGGCCATTGGTATGAAATCCATATTGATTTCTACTTTAAGATGAAAATTACCCTTTTTTTAATAGATGATTGTGTTATCAGACAATGTAATTAACTGTCACTACATCTAACAAAAGTAAACAAATCACAACCCGTTGAATATACTGTACGTCACTGCAACTAAACCGCTGTTTATTTCTTTAAAACCACCTTAAAGGACATTTAACTGGCCGCCAGCGGTATTTGTGATTAGAGGTAGGGTTGACGATTCCTTCCAGAAGTGTTTGTTACACATCTTCAATTTCTCTTTTAATCACGATGGCAATGCACCGACAAAAAATTATGTGGCAGCAGCAGCAAGGCTGAACAATAATTTTATTCATCTCAAGCAAAACCATTTAATGACCAGCCTACCCGTCAACCTACTTGTGCGCCAATAAACTGAAGAACCTACTTGCGCACACTGCCCTTGTACTCAATGCGTGAGCCAACAGTCTCGCACAAGGCATTACACTTGCAGACAGACGCGTTACCAGTCTGTTTTACAGCTAAAGCTAGTGAACCATGGTACAGAAGGAGCCCACAGTAGCTTTTATTCCCAAAAGGAGACCGTTGTTATGGTCCAGGTTCCCCCTTTAATACGTATAGCCTTATAGGAAATATTGTTGTCGCCCGAAATTGCAACCTGTGTGCACAATATGAGAGCGAGTAAACCGCCGCACATACATTATCCATCCATTATTTGTTCAGCCGTAATCCAGAGGTCCCCAGCTACGGTTCGGGGCCACAGATCTGGGCGGGTAACACCATATTCAAGAAAGTTACAAATAAAAAGAGGTTGGATGCTGCAAAAAGTAAAACCAGAATTAACATTGGTGTGGCTTTTGAACTATGGCAACAACAGAGAACAAAAGGGGCTCAAAAGCGACGTTATCGTGGCCATATTTCTGCTGGACGGGTTTTTTTTTTAAGGGCATTTGTTATTTTCTTGAAATCAGTAGTGGTCAGGCAGTGCGCATTACAGCGTGTTGTGCTTTGGAGAGAAATCAGAACGAAAGGTTGGCATTTCTTCGGTTGTCTACTTTGAAAATCGAGCTTCCTCTTGCTGGTTTTCCAGGATCCCAAACCCTACCTTTAACATGCATTTTAGCACTCCTTTTACATTCATTAGGAACTTTGGTTCTGTTCCCTGAGCAAGAAAATTCACTTTATGGAATCAAAATTTGATTTGGTGTTGGTTTGATCTGGTCAAGAGGATTTCAACTTTGTTAATGGTTTGTCTTTTACTGTCTTATTAAGTGTAACGTATGTGGGACACAAATAAGAGAAACGCCATACCAAGACAAACACATACCGATACGTTTTTAAAAGCTGTTTTGATGAGATTTTACAACTTTGCAATATAACAGGTTTGAGTTGTTGGCGTTTGACTACCAGTGATTCATTCCATAACACAGGAATTATCATCACTAAGCAGGAAGTTGTATTCCCAGATATTTTAGTACTTGGAAAAGGAAACGTTTCACTGACCTTGAGCTTGGAGCAACAAGCCTCATTTGAGTTTTTGGACTCTACACTCATGATGCTGTAGTGTGCTCAACAGACGGCAAGAAGCAGAAAACACAACAGACCTGCAAAAAGATTGAGAGAATCAGAATGTCAAAATATAAAATTGTCATTTTTCAAGCAGAGTTTCAGCGTGTTCAGCAGAGCAAGTTTACAGTATAGTAACTTAAATACTAAATGTAATATCCAACAACCAAGATCAAACTATAATTTTGCCTCAGTGCAATGTGCAGAAAAAGATAACTTGTGCAGACTTGGGTGGAGAAACATTTTTACCTGAGAGGTAGCAATGGTCCTGTGAGGGGATGTGAAGTAGCTGAAGGCTCTTGACAGCTGGAAGGACTTTGTGCTTAAAGCAAGAGTCTTATCACAACTATAGCATCACCTGTAATCAGTAACCCTGCCCCTCATGTGCACTTGCTGATCATGTCAATAAAATCCCTCCAACCCTTATACACACACAGACATGCAAGCCAAAATGTGACTGCACTGGTTGCGTAAGGTCCAGTGGGATAATGGCCACCCAACGCCAGAAGGTTCAGTGGTTTGCTGAATGCAAACAGACATTTCCAGTGTGCACACTTGAACATCCTCTTGAACAAAAACAGCAGCGTGAAGCTGGCCAGTGCTTATTTTACAAGCCTGCAGTTTTCAAAGAATGAAATGCTTTCTTCTGCTGAAGAAATTCAGCTTTTGAGAGACTGGTTGTTTCCTGGGCCTGATTAAAGTCTTCCTGTACTATTGATAGCTCCTAACAATGGCCAAGTAGCACATCTAGTCAGACTTGGCCATACAAGGCAATCTTTATGCTCACTGGATTGATTTTTATTAAACTTGCATTCAGGATACAAAAAGAAAAAAAAGTTCCTTTCACTGTACTTAAACCAGTGTTCATAGTTTAACAGGAACTACTTTATCCACAAAAGTTTGTTTACAGTGTGCTTTTATATTCCGAGTAACTATGCCTTTTTTCTTTGAGATCAATTTGTAATTTACAAACCGAGGAAATTAGGGTGGAAGCACAAATCTGACATGTCAAAATAAAGCTTGAATTGCACTAGCAAGAACCTTGTAATTTCCTTAGTAGCATGGGAATGAATGGATCAAAGCCAGGTCAGCGTGGCTGCCAGTAGGCACGTCGGGTGAGGTGACTAGAACAGGTTCAAGTTGGGCTTGATGCAACATAAAGACACTACAAACTGATTAGTAAGGAACTCCCTTTATTTGATTGATAGCACAAGTCACTCATTTAATCTCAACTTTTGAGCTGCATGTACTTTTCAGCACAATATACTTCAGACTCCACACACACAGCTGGCAATATGCTTGTAGGTGTAGTGCCTGGTAGTGAGGTCCAAGCACTGCAGGGTCACTGATCTCCTCTCTGAGCTCTGCTCGTGACAGCATCTGCTCTTCTGCTCCACCTGCAGGACATCATTTAATACAACACTGTTCCCATGCAGCATGGCCAAGATGGGAACAGGCAGAGGAGGGAAATAATTGACAGAGGAAGGGAGATGTTACCTCTAGGCTTATGCAGATTCCAAATTTCAGAAAGGTATTTATTCAGGACAAAAACTGATGGCCTTTGGCAAGATCTCAGTATGAACACTACAAACTTCAGAATGTTACCGTTATAACTACTGCTTTTGACCAGTGATAGCTAGATTGCTTTTACCTGGGCTGAGACTCACACTGGCCTCGACACACAGGCATCTGTAAGACAGTGCTACAGTTGTCTATGGTGATGTTGAAGTTGGATACCACAAGAGCACAGCGCCGGTTACCTGGAGTTGTATGGAAGGAGGAGTTAAATGTCATTTACAAAATGAATTCTTTAAGGACCATTTTTATGTCTAGCACCATTGAAGTGATCTTAAAACCCATGTGACAGTTGAGCAGTGGAAGTTAAATTTGGCATCTTGTCCCCCTGGAAAGGAAATCCACAGGTGCTGACCAAGTTTGTTTTTTTAAATAAACACCCACATTTAAACAATTCATACA